AGATACCATTTTTCTATATCTGAAATTCTGAAGCTTTTCCATCATGCATATCATTCTTCACCTTGGAACATTAATCATCTTCCTGTTGTCTCCTTGCTGGATTCTATTTAATAAAGTTGGTTAAGTGTCAATGTTGCAAGTTTAGCCTCCAGAGATCCTGAAAATACAATTTCAATATCCATTTTTTGTAAGTCCACCCATTCTGGTTTTTGAGTCAGACTCATAGTTGCAACCCTAGATATCGATTTTCTACTTAACGCATCAACTACAACGTTAGCTTTACCAGGGTGCTAATTGATAACACAATTATAATCTTTTACCAACTCTAACCACCTTCTTTGTCTCATATTCAATTTCTTTTGCGTAAACAAATATTTCAAACTTTTGTGATCAGTATAAATCTCGCATCTTTCCCTGTACAAATAATGCCTCCATATTTTAAGTGCAAATACAACGACGACAAGCTCCAAGTCATGTGTAGGATAATTATTTTCGTATTCTTTAAGTTGCCTATGCATATGTAATAACTTTACCATTTTGTATCAATACACATCCTAAACCACTTTTGGAAGCATCACTGTAAACGACAAAGGATAGGGGCCGAAGTCAATCTTTTCTTCAATTCCTGGAAACTTTGCTCACAAGTATCTGTCCATTCAAACTTCGTACCATTTCTAGTTAATTTCGTTAAAGAAGAAGCTATTTTTGAAATTCTTTCCACAAATTTACGATAATATCTAAACCCATAAAACCCCGAACTTCTGAAAGTTTGTAGGTCTGGGCCAATTATTAATAGCCTCTACTTTACTTGGGTCAACTGATATGCCCTCACCGGATATTACATGCCCAAAAATACGACTCTATCTAACCAAAATTCACATTTCTTAAACTTAGCATATATCTTCCTTTAACACCCGAAGTACTATCCTAAAATGTTCAGTATGTTCTTCCCTTGTACGAGAATAAATAAGGATGTCATCAATAAATACAATGACAAACTTATCGAGAAAATCCTTAAATACCCGATTCATCAAATCTATAAATGTCGCCGGGGCATTTGTCAACCCAAATGGCATCACTAAAAGCTCATAATGACCATATATCATACTAAATGTTGTACTAGAAATGTCACCTTCCCTTTAGTTGATGGTATCCAGATCGCNCCTTTTCAAGATTCCAATTTCTTAACAAGTCAAGCTCCAACATCTAGATTAACCTAATTTCTCTATCATAGCCCAATGTAGAATTCGGCACCTAGGTTGAGGAGTCAAAGGCTAACACTATATAAAGATCTTAAGCTCTCAATAATTGAATGTACCATTTTAAAATAAAGCCATTACGAAAATTGATGCAAATAACGGTAAATAGCATGCATGACTCATATTGGGCAAATGTGTAATGTGAAATTCAAGGTATTACATCCTCCATTCCTTATAAAATTTCGTACTCAGAATTTGCTTACCAAAAAGTTCAGGATTTTAACCCGTATTTTATCTTCTCTTTCCTAAGTGGCCTCTTCCGTTGACTAATTTCGCCACAATACCTTAACCAATGGAATTTTCTCGCTTCTAAGTTGCTTTACCTCTCGCTGAAGAATCTCTATCGGTTTTTCTTTATAAGTCAAATCTGGTTTTATCTCCATCGGCTCGTTCTTCAATATATGAGAGGGATTTC